CCCAGATCTCAATCCAATTGAGCATCTGTGGGATATGCTGGAAGAACAAATACGATCCATGGAGACCCCATCTCGTAACTTGCAGGACTTAAAGGATCTGCTGCTAATGTCTTGGTGCCAGATAGCACATGACACATTCACAGGTCTTGTGGAGTACATGCCTCAATGCATCAGAGCCGTTTTGGCAGCACAAGGGGGACCTACACAGGGCAGGCGCTTCCATTAAGCCACCTAGGCAGTGGCCTAGGGCGCCAGTTCCCTGGGGGCGCCTCTGGCAAACCTGCAGCTATAATTGTGACTGGGTCTGTCCGGGTGACTGGACAGCTCAGGCAGACCCAGTAACGCATGGAAAAATTCAGGATTGCAGCCAGGCCCCAGTGGCAGTGCCATTACTCACACAGTGCTCCACTACCTTCTGATTGGTGCCTGGCTGCACTTGATCCCATTGCGCACAGGCGCAGTGTCTGTGCGATCCCACCCCCTACCGTGTGCATGGGGACATGTCAGAGAAAGGAAGGGGGGCAGGGAAGCAGAGAGTATCAGTCCCAGGAGGCCCTTCACCGGGTACGCATTTTACTTGCACAGCAGGAAGTGGGGCTGAAACAGGAAGTAACGGGATGCCAGGCAGCAAACTGAAATATGAAATTAAGGTAAGTGTGTGTTTCAGAGAATGTGTCTGTCTGCATGTGTGTGTGTCTGTGTATGTGAGTCTGCATGTGTCTGTGTGTGTGTGTGTGTCAGTCTGCATGGGTCTGTGTGTGTTTGTCAGTCTGCATGTGTCTGTGTGTGTGTGTGTGTGTGTGTGTGCTTGTGTGTGTCAGTCTGCATGGGTCTGTGTGTGTCAGTCTGCATGTGTCTGTGTGTGTGTGTGTGTTTGTGTGTGTGTATGTGTGTCAGTCTGTATGGGCCTGTGTGTGTCAGTTTGCATGGGTCTGTATGTGTCTGTGTGTGTCTCAGTCTGCATGGGTCTGTGTGCGTCCGTTTGCATGAGTCAGTGTGTGTGTGTGTATGTGTGCATGTCAGTCTGCATGGGTCAGTGTGTGTGAGTCAGTCTGCTTGGGTTAGTCAGTCTGCAAAAATCAGTGCATTTGTGTGTGCATGGGTCACTGATTGTGAGTTTGTGGACCATTGAATGTGAGTTAATGTGTGTGTGTGTGTGTGTGTATGTATGTGTCAGTGATTGCATTTGTGCACAAAGGCCAGTTTTAATTTAAAAAAGCAATACTTTTAAAGGAGCACTATAGTGTTAGGATTATAAACTTGTATTCTGAATATTATAGTGTTTCAATTAGTAAACATAGATTCTAGTCCCCTCCCCCCACCATAAAAAAAGGTTTAAAAAAATAAATAAAATAACAAAATGGTTGGTTTTATTTTTATTTTAAGCACCAAGACTTTCTTTGCACAGCTTGCCTCCCTACCTCCTGCAATGTCACCAATGGGAAACACTGGTTCAAACCAATGTTCCTTATAAAGAAGCAAGGGTTCAGCAGTTAGTACTACCCTAGTCCAAGCACACTGTGTGCATCATTGTATAAGGATCCCTCAACTCAAAGGATCAAAGAACATATAGCAGCTGTGATAAAGTGGTGAAAAAATGTTGGTGTGGAGATTGTAAAGGAATGCAAAGGAACAATTGTGTTACACAAGCAATATATTTTTTCCTACTCCATCAGACCACGGCAACGCATGAAAAATTATAATTCCAATTAATTCTCTGTGCTTTTATTTTACTCTAATGTTAATAGAAAATGATAGGGTGCAATGGTTAATTGAATTCACTTTGTATGTAATTACCTCTTTACAAAAATAATAAAAATATAACCCTCGGGATTTCAGTGGCAGAAGACATCCTTTTTCTCCTTTAATTGGTGCAAACAAATATTATTTTGCAATATTGATTAACTTATGCACCATAGGTATTGTATCACATTTCGCAAGATACAAACATTCTTACTGTCATGTCTGACCTTCCCTGTCCTGTTGGCTATGGGACAACACAGATAATGTGGTATCAGTTGGAGGTCCACCACAAGCCTATTCTTCCACTGGGTTGGACCATCTATGGAGGATCATAAATGGGGCCAGGATTTGCGTAAAGCAAAATGTATGCCAAATGTGAGGCAGTCAAAACATTTTAAATACAATATCATTTCATTAAGTCTCAATCATGACATTGAAGGATGAGGTGAACATTCACACAAGGCTGCCTGGGTTTTGGAGCCTACTTAGACTGTAGATATATTTTGTATCTTTTAGACATTCTTTCTGCCACTGGAGTATCCTCATTTATTTTTTATGATTTTTATTCCTTTGTAACTTTCAATCCCCCCATATCCCGTTTCAAAGTATTATTTTCACCACCTGTTTGCCATATGAGAAGTTTCGGTGTTGTAGACTGTCGGCAATGGCTAACGTTAAAATCAAGAAAGTCAAACCTCAAGAGTTTATGTTTTTAGATATAATAAACAAATTAACAATTTTAATTGATGAACAACAGGCTTAGTATTACCAATGCACGGGGGCTCAATTGCTTAACAGAAAACTCCAAGAACCATAACAACTGTATGGCATTGTAGTGGTTAAGGTGTTTGGAGTGCCCTGGTGCCCTCTCAAGTAATCAAACCATTTTCACACAGTTTGACAACTTACCTCGAGTGTGCCGGGAGCCAGTCATGGCTTTGAGTAGAACCAAAAGCTCCTGCACGGAGCTTCCATTAGCTCCCCTAAGCTAAGCCATCCAATGAGAACCGTGCGCAAATTGTTTGACTACTTACTCTGGGAGGGGCTATGACACTCAGTACCACGTTATTGTAGTTATGATACTTGGACTGTTCTTTTACGTTTAAATGGATGGATTTCCTTGTCAGAGTAAGGGTTAACTTTGCTTATTGTAAAAACAACTAGACCATTAAACTCTGTGGTAAAATTACCATTCAGAAAGTAGAGTAAACCCTTACTGCTACGAGAAACCAGTCCAATGACATTCAGATCATTTTTATATAGCCTTTCACCCATATTGGATTTTTTTTTTCTTCTTTAAATAGGTCCTTTGTTATCGGGCTTAACAATTAATCTAGTTCTAGTGCTAAGGTCCATAGGGCAGGTATTTATATGCAATTCTTTCACTTCACTTACTAGAATAGGGCTTTCAAAGGAAATTACAAGCATTCTGTCATTGAGAGTGAATGAGTAATACCCGTCTACAGGTATTCCACACACACACACACACACACACACTAAAATGTCTGTAAATGAAAAAAGTTTACTTCTGTAGTATGACAGAATTGTTGCAATATATTTGTATCATTCTCTTTTTTTAAAATAAGTCAGATTCCACAAAACAATATCAAACTAGTGTTTAGATATTGTTTTATATTTTTTTGCCGCCTTTAGAGTTCCTGAAAAAAAGCTTCTCAGTAATGCCCTTCATGAATCAAGAGCAATATTAGGTTTGCAATTTCATCCATCATATTGAACCTGCAGAAAGCACTTCGGCAGCACTCTCCGCAAGGTCGTGCAGGCTGGGCACTGGCCAGACATGCTTCTTCTGTCCTACAAAGTCAGGTCTGCCCTATTATGGGTGGGTCAGCCCATTATGAGCATACCCGGTGACGTGTTTTGCATCAATGGCAACGCCCCCTCTCAGGCCCACCCATTCCAATTGCATATCTCCCATTGTTGGGAATTATGAAACATTTGTTGTTGGACTGATAGTGTTAAAGATAGACTGAATAGTTGTGTGCAGTGACAGTATTGAGGAGTAGTGTGAATAACCTGCATAATATCATATGTAAATAACATGACGCCATAACATCAACAATCATTTGTTCAAAAGTATTCACTGTCCAGTAAATGATATATTGTAATCACAGGAGTAAGAGTCTACTCTTGATAATAGTCTCTAACGTTTAGCAAAATACCATCTTTCTCTAGCTATAACAGGTTAAAAATTGGTTATGGAAAAATTCAAAATTTCTCCCAAAGTAAGATTTCAGGTGCTAACTGAAAACCAACGAGCAACAGTAGATGCTTGATCTCATGGCGGGATCGCATGGCTTGTTCATTTCATGTTCTAAGTTATTCAATTTAATTTTTTTTTTTAAATTTATTTATTTTAATTCTTTCTTTTTGTTGTGCAGGTGGGTACAAAGCATAGTCATACACTACAACAGCGTGCATTTATATTTGAACACAGATAGGTGAAACAGTGGCATAGAGAATTTGCACATTTTTGTTTTTAAAAAACATAATGATAAACTAGGAAGCAGTCACACGTAAGGTTAATTATAGCGTTTTCATTAACATATCTAAGTGTCGCTTGTCTAGAGGTGTCTCCTGTTCCGCTTATCTAAAACGGTGAGGTACAGGGTTAGATCGAGATATGGCAGTTGTGAAACCAAGCTAGTGTATATGGGGTGGCTGTGTGCCCCGAGAGATGTTACTAGATTTTTAGTTGGGGTCGCTGAAGATGTGGACTGTTGGGGTCCCATACATTTATGATAGTGGGCAATTTGCGGAGATCTGCTAAGGGTGCCCTGGGTAGCCCATTAAGTGTGATGGTCAAGGATCTTTATAGTGGGTTCAGTATTATAGTGGGTTCAGTAAGGATTTGACAGGCGCTTATTTAGAGCCCTGTTAGGCCATCCCTCTGGGTGATCGCATCTATGTGATAGGCATCAGAGCAGAGCATAAAACAAACAACAAGATTTAAATGAAAAGTAGGGCATAATGGTTATGTACTGGGGGCCAGATTCAAACCGTGTGTGTCAAGTCCTGGATCTAGAGGACAGCGTTCAGCTTTAGCCTACTCCTAGGCTCAGCAACTTGTGGGTGAAACTTGGAGTCACACCCTTCTGCATGTCTGTGCGTCTCCACCAGCTCCCATGTCTTTCACTCGCTTGCGCCTTGTCTGCCGTCGAGTAGCATAGCCCTGTAACGGGTCCTGGTCTACTGGGTCTTCTCTGTGTCGGTGAGTGGCGCTGCGGTGAGTAGCTAGTCTAGTGGTGTGGTTTGGGAGCCTGGGGACGTTCCATGCCGGATCGTTGTGCAGTGTAGCGGCGGAATGGAAAGGCGGGTTTGCAATGGCACCCTGCTCGGGTGGTTGTGGGTGCTGGGCGGCTGTGCGGATGTCGGTTCGCTTGATAGGAGTAGGTGAGTGAAGTGCGTTTTGTAGGAGTGGGAGGCCGTGGTGAAGCAGTTTGAAGCAGCTTACCCTCCAGCTTCCTCCAGAATGCATCGAAATGGCTTTGTATTCGCATGAGGATATCGGGCGAGGCGTCGCTTGCATTGTCGGCGCATGTTGTGTCCGCCATTTTAGGTAGGTCTCTGTTTACTTTCATTGGCGGTATTCCTCTTCTCAGCAGTCTCGAGGTCACCACCCCAGGGTGGACCGGCATCACCCCCGTCGGTCTGAGGGGGGGAACAGGTCTTGCTTGTGCGGTGAGTAGCTTCGTGGTACCTCCGGGTCAGTGGAGCGGCCGCATCCCCTGCCCGCCGCATACCAGGCTGCAGTGTCGGTCGTGGGTTCCGCTGACCCCAATCGGGTCGTATGACATCCCGTCGTGTGCCCACTGTCTTGGATGGCAAGTGGGTGTCTGGGATTATTGTTTGTGTCGCTTGAATGGGCCATATTTCGCTTGTTTTGCTATGATTGTGTGGGAGCTCGTGGAAAACACGACTCTCCGCCATAATGGTCAGGCCCCGCCCCCTCAATTTATTTTGTTTAAGAGGAAATAAGATTTTTTTTAATGTGGAGAGTGTGTGGCTCGGGCATCATTGCATCCCTAAGTACCTCGGGATAGTCAGTCAATGTCTGCGCAGTGCGTTGTAAATATGGGTAAAAAGAAGGGGTGGGTCCTATATGCGTTACCTAATGATAACGTAGAATTAGTGATGCAATGTTGGGCACATATTAACAGTAAATTATGCACAGAGAACAGGGGAGACTGTCGGCTGCGGGTGTAGGGGGTCGGCAGTCAATCCATCAATGCACTAGAACGTCAGTTAAGTAGCGTACATATAATTGTTTATATAAGTATAGGGGAACCTGGGACATGGGGGGGGTTGGAGGGGCAAGGTATGGGAAAGGCTCTCAACTCCCCTCGCCACCAGCCGAGAGGTACCACAGCCAGGGCGGGTGCATCTCTCAGTCCTGCCCTGTTACTGTAAGAGTTTCCATATTGTAAATCTCACCCACCCTGTCTATCCACTGCCGGAAGGTGGGCGCATCCCTCTGCTTCCACAGCGTGGGGATCAGGGATTTAGCTTCAGTTAGTAGGTGTTTCACTAAGGACTTTTTATATGTGGAAAGGGCCATGTCCGTGTGGTGCAGTAGCATAGTAAGAGGTTGGAACGGCAGGTCAACATCTGTGATCGTCTCTAGAATTTTGGTCCAGAAGGGGGCTATGACTGGGCAGTTCCACCAGATGTGGAGAGCGGAGCCGTCGTTGGCAGCACATCTCCAGCATTCGTTGGGCGATGCCGGGTTTATACGGTGCAGGATGTCTGGAGTCCTATACCAATGCTCATCTCCTGAAATTTGGAGCTGAATCTCGGGTTCGGCGGGTTTTCCCCAGCGAGGAACGACACTTATAGAGTGGAGACCTCTCTCTCCAGGTGTTGCCGCTTGATGCATAGGGCCTCAAACTGCGTGGGTCCTCTATGTAGGCACCGTTTGCTTGGGAAAGTCGCATAATATGCCTGAATTTGGAGATAATGAAGGTTATCTATGCCTGAGGGTGTGGTGTCCCCGAGGATGTCCCTCAGGGGTTTAAGACGATCCCCCAGCAGGATTTGGTGACAGCTAATCCAGTCAGTGTGTGCATATGATCGCATGTCTGCAGGCGTCAGTCCCCCCCGATGTCTGGGCTGTGTGTGATGGGTGTCAGGGGCCCGTGTGGGGTGGTCAATTGATGGGAGAAGCGCAGTGCGCACCAGATTCTCAGTGTGGCATGTATCATAGGGTTGCCTGTTCGTAAGGATCCGAGTGTCAAGGAGCCAAGCCACAGGCGGGAGGGGAGAGTGCCCCTGTCTGCGCGAGTTCCATGGGGACCCAAAACTTGGCAGTTGGGTGGGCATGCCTATCCACCAGCCTGAGGAGGTGGGCAGCGTGATAGTACCCTAGGATGGAAGGGAGCCCAGCGCCGCCTTGTTCTTTGGGGCGATCTAGAAGCGCCTTGCTAATCCTGGTTACCTTCCCGTTCCACACAAACCTCCTTATAGCCGTGGTGAGGGATTAAAAAAATGCACTTGGGATGGTTACCGTGACCGTCTGGAACAGGTATAAGAGACGAGGTAAGACATTAATTTTCATGGTGTTGATGCGGCCAAACCAGGAGACATAGATGTATACAGTTTTTTTAGAGCTTTTTAAAAAAATACAAATAATTAAATTTCTTTTTTACTGCCACACCATAAAGTTAACATAATACCAGGCTGTAATCTTTGCCCATACAAAACTAGTTTGTGCAAGAGGGCACAATCAATTGACACATCTAGTCTGTGCATGGCTAAACATCACAGTCTCTCCACTAATTTATACTATTTTCGTTTTACCAAGATAATTCTTATGCTGACTCTAGATACTATTTTAAATTCTTCACAGTGTTAAACGTTACCACCTCTGTCTAATTCCTTGTATCTACTTTCCATTCAGTGGGGGGAAAAAAATCGCACATTCCGTCTTTTGTCTTTCAAGTTCCAACTTTAATTAATGGTTTATAATAATTGATTTTATGAAGCAGGCTTTCCTCTTCAACTTTCTTCTCAATGAACACTCAAAAGCAGCTTAAACTCTAAAAATGTCAAGTGTCACTGAAGCTATAAGCTCGCCTGGTCACTTAGAGATCCCCGATTTTCACTGTCTGACCAAGTAATTGTACAGCATATGTCCAGCGGTAGGAAGCATGTCATACAAGACTCCATGTACTCAACACGCTCCTTTCATACCAAGTGCCTTAGTACTAGGATCAATCACTAAAACTGTAAAAGGAGCTGTACTTAAAGGTTTGCTCTAAGCACCATCACCACTTCAAAATAAACGCTGCCAATACAGATATTTGATTTTGCTGGTGGAGGGGGAACTCCACTTCCAGGAACATCATTAGCAGCCTGTAACAAGCTTCCCAGACTGCTAATACTAAATCTGTGCTTGGACAATGAGCCTCATCAGCATGCATAGCATAGACAGACGGCCAAAGGTGGCACAGCCCCCTCCATGCCACCTCCTTTAGTCATGCTTCCGACACATCTCTACCCTGCAGTGAGAGGTCATGACATCACAGAAGAAGGATCATGCTGCTGAGAGAACTTGGCCTCAGTGCTGGTCTGTAGGTGAACTTATGTATTCTTCTCTCTCTTTTTTTTTTTTTTGTTGAAGGGGCGGAGGGGCAGAGGCGGGAGGGGGGGAGGGGAAGCAGTGTTATTCTGTCCGACAAACAGTGTTTTTGGTTGGAGTATCACTTTAAGCCACTGGAAAATTGATGCAGATGCAATACAAATACTTTAACAATTCTAATAAATGAATAAATACAGAGCTGGTAATTTGAGAATTAACACGTGCAGAGCTATTTATTTCAGCTGTGTATTTTAAATATATTTAAACATTTAGACCGAAATAGTTGAAAAAAAAAACTGGCATGGAGATGTATTTTTCTGTTTCCACTATAGTGAACTACAATTTGAAATTTGTAACTGTAAATCCCATTGTAAAGCGCTGCAGAATTTGTTGGCGCTATGTGAATAATAATAATAATTCCTGACAATGCACACTTTAATGACATTGGATCACAGTGCCACAAATGTCTTTCTACTCAGCATCTGCGGAAATAGAAGTCACGGTGAAATGAAAGCAGAAGTCAGTTTGTCTATCAGGATATCTTCTCTTTTTTTTTCGTCTATAAATCTTGTTACAGCATCAACATTGCGTGATGATGAAACCTACATAGATCTGATAATGAAATTCAAGATTTGAAAATCACTAGAGAAAGTGTCTTGGATATATTTAGCGCCATCTTGCTGAAGAAAGTGGTACTGCGGGAATTGAATGGATGTTCACATTCGGCAGTGATACTTTTTTTGTCCAAATTGGTCTCTATAATAAATATTTCAGAAACCTGAGATAAATGAAACATGAGCCCACTTGTGTGCATTATGTTATCCTTAAATTAAAGGGAAGCACATGGCAATAATTTGTAATAATATATCATCTATTGGCAGAGTGCACTCTTACATGTAAATAGATTAATAACATAAAAAAAAAAAAGATTCAGGGGTAGTATTTGTTACTCCCTTATCAACCCCCTTACTTGTATACCTTTGTATGTGAATTTGGGAAAGAGAAGGCCTAGGTATAGCCTAGGGACAAGTTATTTTATCACTAAACTAACCCACTATTCTACATTGTCCCCCTGTATAATTTTATATAAAATATTGAAAATTAATGCTGAGAAGACCAGTAGAATACAATAGTAATATATTAAAACTTATTTTTAATTGCACGTAAGAATATTTACACTTTAGTGCGAATAACTACCCTATAATTCAGCACACAATGATGCAATAAACTGAACTCATGCTGATAGCATTCTATTGTCAAGTCAACACAACTCAGTGAGAGCTTAGTGAGTCAACCCAAAATAGATGTATTGTTTCACATTAAGATTTTTTAGTTTAATAATTACACAGAGAAGGTGTATTCAGTGAAGTTGTGAAAACGTGTGCCCATAGTGTGCACTGAGATTTGCGAATTTTAGACGGAGGTATACGATTTGAAAAACATCTTTTGATCCAATAGGTGCCCTTCCCAAATCGATTTGTACAAATCCCAATAAATAACTCTGGATCGCCGCTTGCTGTGGCAAACGTGAATCCAAGAGACACACGCAGACAATGTGTTTGCACCAGAATAAAATTGAGAAAGTAAAGCAATTTTGTGAAATTCATGTACGTCTTTTCAGAAGCCAATTGATATGTGCCATTTTGTAAACCATTTTTCATTTAAAGCGACACTGTAGTCACTAAGATGATTTGATCTATTTGAATTGGTTATAGTACCTGGAATCTCCAAGCACTGTCCTTCTATTCAGTTTCAATTTTATTTTTTTAATGAATATAATTTTTATTTATTCTTGTGTTACTTACGTGGAGATCGGAGACTCGCAGGTCTCTAAGGTGAGTAGTCATAATTTTTCCTTGAAAACAACAATGTATGTTTGGGCTCGCAGGCCCACAATGTTGACGGACTTGCAAGTCCCTATTTTCCAGGTTCACAAGCACCTTCAAGTACATCTTACCATCTGCCATTTGTTTTCCTAATTGGGTTTTGTTCACATGGTATATACGTTTCATGTACAGTAGCCGGTGGTCTCATTATGTTTGTGTTGAGGTTCGCAGACCTCGTATGCAGCCTTTATTGTTAGGCGCCGTTCAGGTCCCTAAATTTAGTGTTGGGCTTTATGCCTGTAGCAGATTTATGTGAGTCTCCCCTTAGTGTCAGTTTCAATTTTAGAGTAATTTAACACTAAATAAGAGTTCCTGGCCAGCCGCAAGTCGTCCCCTTCTGGAGGTGTGGCTAAGGCAGAGATTAAACACTTTCTTTTAGTCATACTCTTTCATACTGTTCAGAATGAGCTCTGATAGGCTAAATGCAGTCAGCTGACACTCTCAACCAATCACAGCTGCCCACTACTGCTCAGGCTGATACGTCCACATTGGCCAAAGCAGCACAGAGGGGATGGTCTGCTGGCAACTCTCATTTAGCATTAAAACATAAAAAACCATAAAAAAGCCTAGGGATGTACATGGGCAAAGAATTTGGTTTGGTTCAGCATTCCGAAATTCGGGACTTTAGTAATTCGGCACTTCGGCAATACGGACATTCGGAAGCATCCGAATGTCCGAATTGCCGAAATTCGTCTGAATTTTTATTCGGACCGAAACGAATTGCACATGTCTACTAAAACCTGTTTAATGCTGAATGAAATGATGGCACCATGGGAATCCAGACATTATAACCGGTTCAATGAGAGGAAACAGTTATACAGTGCCTACAGTGTCCCTTTAAAACAAACAAAGTAATACCTTAGGAATTGAATAGCGTAACGGCTACCGCTGGTCCAATAAAAGAACAAATACAGAACTGAAACCCGTATCTCATGGGTTAAACATTGCTCATTATATATTCATGCTAACAGAGTGGGCCAGCATGGTGAAAAATCAATCACATATTGATCAGATTTCACTTCCCATTATACTGTAAGGTTCAAACATGTGAAAGTGGTACCCAGTGATTACTGACAAATAACATAATGTTTACTGGAGTAGTAAATAATTTCTTATCTTAAAAATGACATTTCCCCATAAGGGTGATATTAAGGCTCAGCTACAGTAGTTGTTTTCTGCTCCTTCCTCAGTTAAGGCTTATTCTGACCCCTCAACGTCTGTTTTCTGGTCTGAAACCCAATTAAACCTGTTTTTCCCAAAAGCAAACGTTCTATGTTTTTTGCCTATTCAAGTTCCTTTGAGTCCGTGTTGTCTGCTTGCGTGATTTGTGTTATTGCACTTGGAGTACACTGTGATAGGAGCTATTTAGAGTTTCTGTATGTTTGCGTCTCATGTACCTGATCACCTCCTTACTGGAGTTTAATGGACTCATCTTGAATGTTCCTCTTGTGTTGCCAATTTGTCTAAAATTGGACATTACACCTTATTTAAACTTTGCAAGGAGTCATTGCCTAAAAAGAACCATTACAGTAAAGGGACACTATAGGCACCCAGACCACTTCAGCTCACGGCAGTGGTCTGGGTGCAGTGTCCCAGGCCCTTTAACACTGCAATTGTAATTATTGCAGTTTTTGACAAACTCCAATAATTGCCTTGGAGGGTTAATTCCACCTGCAGTGGCTGTCTATTAGAGAGATTTCCGTGTGGTGATGCCACTTAGGCGACCTCTACATACGGACATCCAGCGTCATCCAAAATCCCATTAGGTTCCCCCGTCGGCTGACGTCCGTGGACGAGGAGCGAAGGCGGAGCCTGAACCAGAGCCGAGGGACATTGGCGCTGGAATAATGTAAGTGACAAAATGGGTTTTTAAGTCCTTCTGCACCAGCTTAGTTTTCCTTGCATTATAGTTTCCCTTTAATAGCCACAGGTAAGGTTTCTGCATTTGTAAGTCCAACCTTTGCGATGAGTAAGTGTCTTGTAAGAGAAATATAACTCCTCCTTTATTATACAATCAAGGTTAGTGGCTTGGAAAGGACCCTAGTCGTATATATATACAAAATTCCTTAATTCTGTACATGCCAGAGTAGGATCTCTAGGAGCACCATTGTTACGAGGACATGGGTTGTGTTTGGTTTTTAAGTGCTTAAACATTGATAACAAAGATCTTAATGTGTTAGACTGAACCTTAGCACCTTAAAGTATTTTTAGAATCTTGGAAATAACAGTATCTTGAAAAAGCACAATGCTCTTAAAGAACCCTGGACCTACAGGGTTATAAAGAATTACAGAGATATAAAAGAAGCCTAATGGACTAGCAAGATCTCTAATCTAGTAGAAATAAAACTATAGTTGAATTTGGACAGATTGTGTAATCGGTCAAATCTACACACTCCAAGCGGAATGCACCCGAATCACAAGCTAAACAAAATGCACAATGGATGAGCATGCTCATTTCGATTTGTAATTCTGAATTCTGCAAATGTCACCAAAAAAAGATATGATTGATGGGAAAAAAGATGATTGATGGCTGGAGGGCAGTCACTAAATGTTGATTTTATTGACAGATCCAATGAGAGTGACCAATAGAGGGAAGCAGTAAAGAAAATCCATATTTATATAATTTATTTAATAAATATAAACATGGCTTTTTCTACTGCGAGTCCTCTTTCCCCCTCTTTTAGTTACTTTTTATCAGTTGATCTGTGAACCAAATGGCAAAAAATGCACCTATCAGTGTACTGTAGAATACATGCATAATATTTATATTATTTACATATTTTACAGTACGCTGATTGGCCCATTTTTGCGCCATTTTGGTTTGTCTGATTTGTTTTCACAAATCTTTTTTCACTAATGAAACATGGTTAAAATTTGAGTGTCCTAAAATGTTTTACTTTTTGTAGAAGTGTTGTTTTTTTTTTTTTTTTTATTCTTTATTTTTCGTTCTGACAGCCAAGCATTGTTACAATAGTGCAGACATAGGCATGTAAATAACTGTACAAGTTTTTGTTTGCATGTAGTTACAGAATGCAGAGTAGTATAGTTAGTACAAGCATCAGTCACATACTGTGCACTTTGTGTGCGTTGCCGCCAGAGTTTTTCTTTTGTGTTGGCAAGCAAAATGTACAGTGGTAGTATTGTTGAGGAGTGTGCTGTGTCATGAACTCTCAGGTTGGCTTTGATGAGTGTGTTGTGCTGTTGTGGCCCAAGCGTATGTGTGGGGTATTCTGAGCTTGCCTGGTTAGGTCAGGCATTGTGCCCTTCCTGTCTGCTCTGTCCATGCCACCCCATGGGTGCTGTCATTCTGCTATGTGCGTAATCAGGCAGAGTATGATAGTGTTTGAGCTTTTCTCTCCTCCTGTTTGTTTACAGGTCTGGTGTGCTTGCAATAGATAAAAACATATAAGGAAAGGATAGATATGTAGAGACAAGTAGAGTTAGTAAAGTATTGAAGTACGGAGATGAAATGATCTCCTGGGGGCCGTGGACCCGGTGCCGCCCGTCCCAGTGGGCTGCGTCCCGTGTTCCGGCTATAACCAGGTACCCGTTCTGCAGTGGAGCCGCTTCCACCCATCCGGGTTATGGTATGATGGCGACCGTTGGGTGAGTCCCAGTTGTCGCCACTGAAGTGTACCGCATGGATGCCGCCGCGCGCCCCGGGCCATGAGTCTATGTGTCGTATTGCTCCCATGGATCCCACACCTTGTGGAATGTGGTCAATGTGTTCTGCACTTGGGCCGTGAGTTTATCCATCAGATCATTGTCACGTAGTTTTATCCTGACCAGAGATATCTGCGGGAGGTCCGGGCATGACCAGTGTTGTGCTACGGCCTTGCGGGCCGCTAGGTAAATCATGTTGAGGAGTTTTTGTTCGTGTCTTGGGAGGCCCTCCGTGGGTCTAGACAAAAGGCACGCCCATGGGTCTAGTGTTATCCGTTTTCGTAAGATTTGGGAGCTGAAGTCTACTATGCTGCGCCAGTATGTCGCAACCTTTGGGCAGTCCCACCACATGTGTATGTATGTGCCCTTCCCCCCACATAAGTGCCAGCAATCATCTGTAGGGCTCAATTTCATGTGTTTTTGTTTCACTGGAGTCATGTACCAACGAAATAGTGTTTTATAAGATTGTTCTTGGAGTGTTACGCATATAGTGGTTTTGGTGCATGCTTCCCAAATATCTTGCCACTCCGTTCCCTCCAGGACCTCCCCCAGGTCGGCTTCCCACTGGTCAGTGTATCGTAGTGCGCCCTTCGTGTCTGGGGTCGTGTTAAGGTAGTTGTACAGTAATGAAATTAGCTTGGATTGTGTAGTCTACGTATAGCATAGTCTCTCGAAAAAGGTTAGTGGTGTCAGGGCTGCCTTCTTTACGTCAGGTCTCTGCACAAAGTCTCGGATTTGCAGGTACCTGAAATAGTCTCTAGTTTGTAGTGTGGCTTTGGTGTTCAGGTGTGCGTATGTGACTATTTCCTGGTTTATGAAAAGGTGGACGTATCTTTGAGCCCTGTGGCTTCTATCCCTTTGTAGTCCCGGGCCCTCATTCCCGGTGGGAACGCTCTATTCCGAAAGACCGGTGTCATGGGGGACGGGGGGGGGGCTTAGTGAGTATTTCATTTTAGTTTGGTCCCATATCCTTATGGAGTTTAGTATGGCCGGATTTGTGGTTCTCAGTATGGCCCTTTGTGTTTTCGGTGTCCATATGAAGAATTGTGGGAGGTCCTGTCCCGTCATTAGAGACTCCATGTCGACCCAGCGTCTTGTATCAGGGGGGGTGTGCCATTGTATGATCTGGGCTAGCTGTGCCGCTAAGTAATAGTTATATACATTAGGTAGTCCCAGTCCCCCCCTGGGTTTCGGTCTGTACATGAGGGTGCGTAGAAGTGATTTATTTTGCCACAAGTCTATGTGTGAGTTTGATGGTATGCGAGTTTCTGTGTGTATGTGTGAAACCACATGTGTGAGTGTGTACAATAATGTAGCTTTATGTTTTATGAGGAATTATGTGCTTGTGCTTGCATCTGTGTCAGTGTATGTATTTATGAGTGTTGCACTGCATGTGCATGCGTGGTATGAGTGTGTATATCAGCAGTACGTGTGAGCGTGTGTGTGCAGGCAATAGTGTGACATATTAGCGGTCCTTTAAAGCATGCGCGAGAGTTCAGCAGTGACCAAGATGGCAGCGTCCACAAGGGACAGGTTCAGGTGAGTATCTTTACTTGCCCCCCCTCGGTCACCAGACCCCAGACCACCAGCGTTGATGTCATTGTCGGGGGACTTTGTACATTTGGCAAAGTCCCCAAATGGTGACACATCTAGGTCTATACCACACCATCACATGTCAACGTCCTGCCCATTACCTGCATATTCTGTAATTTGTGTCCACATATTTATTACAATCAGCAGCTATGGTTGTACTGAACAGATCCCTCATAGATAAGGGATTGCTGAGTATCAAATTGTTATTTTGTACTGAAACACAATTCTTCATCTCAGCATCGCTCTTCAAAGATAAGTAGAGGATTTAAAATCAATAATATTAGAAACAAAAGCAATTCAAGTGCTTTTATCCTCTTCCAAAAAATGATCTTAAAGCTAAAAAAAATGCCTATCGCAGATGCTCAAAATTAATTTTCCCTGGAAAACGATGTGATTTCATCTCACATGCCCTGGTTTATTTGTTATGGCTGTTTTTGTAACAGCTGTCAGAATATGATTCCTAATTTGCTGTATTGGACTTCCGTGTCAGCGATTTTCTTTTGACTTGCGATGGTACTGATCAAAAAATTGTCCATGGAAACATAACACAGATCTACAGCTAGTCTCACTTACTAAGCAGGGTAGCTGTTACGTGTGATATTGATAAGTTAAGACACATGACAAATATACAAGGGACAACATTGTTTCCAGATAGAAGACTTTGAATTTTCTATCCAAGTGACAAGGAAAACAGTTCATATATCTTGTATAGTTTTGTGGCTGTTTAGCTCTTCTCAAACATTATCTAAACATTATTGTTTATATGTAATAATGTAAAAATGTCAATTTACTATTCAACATTTACATATATAAACTGAATATTCTATATATGGCACATGTCTTCTTTTCCTTTTCTTTTTTTGATTTATATCAGTCCGTTAGTGCAGCTTTATTCCAAATAATTTCATCACATTGAGCTAGGTTTCTAAAAATAAACGTGATAATTTATGTAGCCCATTTTATCAGGATATTCCCCAGTTATATGGAGGCGTTGCAGCAAAATCACACATCCAACTTTGTCGTGTACTTAAAGGGTTAAAATAATTTTGTACAATGTATAGAAAACAATATTTTCTTCTGATTCTGAAGCACTTAAAGCAGGAGGGTCGGATTTGGGTCGGATAATGTTTAGACAGAGCGTCTTGTTATCTGGATCATATCATGGAGAGATTTCTGGAGAAGTACAAGATGGGCATTTTCAGAACAAGATGCTGGATGCGGCCTTCCTAATCCTTCAAATTCAACCACATTGAACTATCCACACTAACAGAGGTGCATTGCAAAATCCAGGCATTTTTTAAGCAAATGGACAAACACCTCCACTGATTTCTCATAGTAAATAAATTTGTAATGTGTGTGCAAGAAAGGCACCACTCAAGAAAATAACCCTAAATGCAATGTAACATCCACAAGGACATAGAAGGAGATGGTAGGGGAATTGTGGGACTGTGAGTAGGATGGGCAGAGGAAAGGACCTTGCTGGGTCAGGTGGAGGAGGCATTAGGGCAACTAGGGCAACAGGTGCCTAGGCATGGGTACAAGTAGGCTGGAAAAGTGGACATAAAATAAGCAAACATTAGGACATGTGAGCTCTGGAGAAAATATATATACAATTCTCTATTTCTTATTGGACTTTTTCTACATATTTTTTTTTATTGTAAAACAATAGTCATGCACTTCTTCACAAAAAAACAGTAATTTACCACGTTCATTATATTCAAGTGGAGAGATATTTCTCCAGTAATTGTTTAGCAAGATTTGTTCCATAATCATAAAAAATGTTGAAAACTTGCAAAAATTCCTACGGGGCTAAATTGTTAAGTATTGCTGTTGCTTTGAATTAATAGTATTTTACTTAGGTATACTATATATTATTATTGTTAGTCAACCCTATATGATACTTTACAACCAGCCAAAAAATATACCACAGCAGAACTGTTGAGTACAATATATAGACTACCCATTCTCTATTACTGGCAATTGAAGTGAAGCCTAGGGGCAGTGATTTTTGACCAAATTGTTAAAGCACACCAAGGCTCCAGGTTTTTCGTCATTTCTCGATTCTACTCCAACGGTAGCACTGACAAAACATGAACCACACTGGCCTAGTTTAGTTCTATATCGTCAAATGTTTGTTGCCAAATATTGCTTGCCTTGTCCACTCATCTCAAATGTATTTCCATGTTTCTTCAAATTTTTGGACTCGTGAGCTCATACGATAATGTTTCATACAATATTTTCTATCATTTAGGCTAATGGAATAACACACGTGTGGCACAAAGGGCTTAAATTGTTCATATCAAATAAATGTGTCTTAATTTACGTGAGATTGGCATATCTGTACCTTAGAATATGGTGCGTCTTTTAAGAAATATATATATTTTTCTAATAATGTTTTAGAAAAGAGTGGGTTTATGCAATACATATTATGCAGTGCAGTGGATAGTTGATGAGAAATATCGCATGTGGGACTATCATCGAGACCATGCAGTAAATGAATAAACCAATACATGTTTTCATGATGACAGCTTGGTTTTATTATATTTATAGATGCTGACAAACTACCTTATTCCTGGTTAGCTCATTGCCCAGACTGCCAGCTCAAATGAATGTAAAATTAATACAAAAATAATATAATTAAAGTTCATACAGCCTCCTCTGTAATAAATCTTTTTCACGTTAATGTAATAGAAGAGGATGCATTTACACAGGGCGATGCATAAAACGAGACAAAGCATTTGCATAACTTCAGTAAGAAGCTCAAATATGCTGAGATTAAACTATTAACACGACCACTCAGGAGATCGATTTTTTTTACAGGTAGTTTACGGGGATGAATTAGCTCTTGTAGGTGCTTGGCAATGTAGAGATATTTTATTTACTAAACACTTAATTGTACATTGTCGTGCACCTGAAGTGCAAAAACATGTGGCAAAATATAGCCAAGCTCTGTTTATTGGCAAGATTATATTTCCAAATCAGCTGTTTTGCCTGAATTTTGGGATTATTGTATTATATCACTTTAATTCGATGTTCAGTAGACATGTACACAGGGAAACAAATTTTGGTTTACTTTCAATTTCGTTTTAGTAATTTCAAAATTAAATTCCAGAAAAATTCTGTTATTATCAATTTGTAACAAACCGAAATCGGATGTCCATTATTTTCTATGGGGTGCTGTTTAGTAGATTGTTCCCTTAATTTGGTACCCTTATGTGTCCCTGCCCTTTTTAGCATACCAGATTATTATTATTAGGGAGCTGTTTAGTAGATAGCTCCCCTAATTTAGTTGCCTTATGCGATACTTCCCAATTTAGGATACCAAATTAAAAATTTTATTACATTTTTTTTTTAAATCCCCTAATCCTAAATAAAGGTACCAAGTTAGGGTAGCTATGCACTAGAAAGAGCCTTAATTTGGTATCCTAAATAGTGCAATCCCACATAAGGGTAATAAACCACTGAATAATTTGAAAAGCTTATTTAAAATATTAAATCAAGGCCCATGTTAGAAATTGTGCATTTAGATTTTCATCTATTAGTTTTTTTTGACAATCTTTATTTTCAGTTGTTTTTCAAGTGGGGTTACAGAAGGGGATAAAGGGAAGAAGTCAGCGTTAAGTACATGCATTGTCGGTAGCATACATTCCCAATCCCTGGTCACGTTTCACAATTGCGGTTCGACATCTTGTG